AAGTAAAATAAGAAGACTCAACATATTTAATCAACCGTTTTAGAAGAAATATCTGCTGATAAATATTAGCTTTCTGCTGAAGTTAATGGCTAGTCTAAACAGAGCAGAGCCAGCAACTTTATCAGAAGTAGAGATTGAACTTGTTTTCATTCCACAATAGAGCAAAGGTTTGAGAGCACTGTAACCTTTTTAAGTTTGAATAACGGATTAATGAGCATGGTATGTACATGACGCATCGGAACTAAAATTAAAACCTTCGACAAACTGATTTATTTTAGAATTAACGGCTAAATCCTGTACTGGAACTATTATGGAGTTTTCACTAATACTCCTATTCATATAAAGGAAGACGTAATCCCATGCAATATCTCACTTCTATAGAAAAGGAATGACGAATGTACCCACAAAACTACGCATGATCTTACAGATTCAGGATCTAAGGGCTCACCAGTCTTCCCTTCGACTAAGCAAGACAGAAGCGAAAAGATCCCAAGACTTAAATTGAACTATCAATTTTTCATCACTATAATCGATGTAGGGAAAAATAAAACTATTATTTCATATTAACAGGTAGTTTCGACATCTACTTAATCTAAAGATAGTAGTTAAATTTATGAATGAGTCCAAACTAACAATTTCTTTCTTTTTTGTAGATAAAAAGATGAAAATGTGAGTAAATGGCCACCAATTAAGCTTTCTTACCAAGGAGACCCATTTTACAAAAATTATCTGATAGATGTGTTTGCGCCGGTGATCCGTTCGATGAGCAAGGTCTTGTAAGGGTGGATCGGCCGAAAACTTGGGCGCTGGGGATCTCGTGTGTGCCTTCCTCTGTGACACTTGTGATGATGTTACTCTGTGTTTCGTTCTGGTCTTTCTCCCAACTCCATAATTTGTGGGCAGCATCTGGCAAGAGTGGATGCCAAAATTTACCATCCGGACGTTCCGAAATCGGTTCAGTATCAGCAGCCATGCACAAGCCATCAATGACAGCGGCAATGCGTGCCGGTTTTAGTGGATCGGCAAGGCGAAGCAGGTCGACAAGTAGATCGAAATATCGACGCAGCTCACCGATAGGTCTGGATGAAATTCGAGATAGTAACTGAAGTATCGAAAAAAATTCAGCAATATGAATAAAGAAATGGCAAATAAGTGGGCAATTAGGTTGTTTATATGTGAGGATAAGCAGTCATAAGTCGGAGTACAGGTTCGGAAGTTTCCAGCTTCAAATAGTCCCGCGCCCAGGATTACTAGCGTGGGATCACTAAGATATACCATAAACTTTGCAATAAAAAACCGAATCACCTTAGA